TGTGACGTGACGAGTGCAGTGGCAATGCCCCTCAGATTTAATGCTCTGAGTGGCACTGCAACTACTATCACTAGCATAGGTAATTGTAATTACATTGATAACTATGTTGAGATTACTATGCAATTATTATAATATTTGTTATTCTGCTATAGAATCTAGTTGCAGTCTAGAATCTAATGGTAGTGATAGCATTCATTCAATTACTAACGATCGTAATGGCCTTACTAAAACTATCACGGAAATATGCATATAAGTATTATTTTTTTTACATCGTTTCAGTAGAAATTTTGTTGACTTATTTTATCAACCTCTATCTCATCTAATGGAAAGTGATGATGAGGTCGACGACGTAGCATGCACACCTAAATAATGCCTATTCACTCTCGCCTTGAAAAGGTCCAATTTATAACGTCCGGGGAATACGTCCGCAAGCAGTTAGTTCCTCTTTCTAGCCGCACGCCATATACATGTGGAAGCAAAACGCTCATGCGAATCCTGGGAATATCCATAACATAAGGGTGGAATCCCAGCCCACGTCTAGTCCCCCGATGATGGAAAGGGGAAGGCGGAATCAAATTATGCAATTCCATCGCACACACTCCGTGTGGAGAGAAAAGAGAACACAGGATATATCGACTCATCCGTAGAACAAAGACCTATGTGCAAGACTACTTGTTCTCAGGACATAGTACATTTCGTTCGTTCTTCTTCGCTGTGGATGTCAGATCGACCGTTGTTCGTTTTTATATTTCCGAAATGAAATAAGATATATAAATTCTCATAACACCTTTACATAGGCCTTAGTTTGAATAACGAAATTATTCTCGTAACGTACTTATTCTCTTTTCGCTATATAATCACATCGAACTCTGTTCTTCGGATGAGTCGACATATCCTGTAGAATATTGATAAGCAGGCAACTTTCAAGGTTCTGCAGCTTCGCCTCAACTAATTCCGAGTTACCTATAAGCCTTTTGGCACGCTTGTCGACTGGATCCAAAGTGGCCAGTTGGTATTTAACAGAGCCATCCCAGAAGTGACAGCAGTACTCCATACAGGACCGGGCTTGTGGTTGGTGCAACTGAAGCAACTGTCTCGGTGTGAAGTAACGCCTCAGCTTGGAAAGGATGCCAAGCTTCCTGGCTGCATTTTTATATATTTCACTAAGATCACGTGCAGCATCGACGTGACATCGACTAACCATTAAAGAGCAGAATATCAAAAAAATCCAATAAAATAAATAAATAAATGACGCACGTACTGACTGCCTCCGTGGCCGAACGGTTACCATGCCACGCAGAGGTCCCGAGTTCGAATCCCGGGCCGAGAGAAATTTGTATATTTGAAATATTTGTTCCTCTCGTAAGTTTGGATGTAATTTGTGGTTGTCTATTTGTGTGTCTATGGCACCCGCGATACAGGCTTTCCTAGTGCGGGGTTATGAGTGTATGCACGTTTTTTGTTGTCACCTAAATAATGTCTTCCATAAGTCGGCCTCTGTGGCTTAGCTGTATTAACTGTCGACTCTAGGTGAGGAGGTTTCGGGTTCGATTCTCGCAAGGATCAATTTAGGAAATGAACTTGTTCTTCTCGCCACAGTATCACAAAAAAAAACAGTTTAGCAGAACTACAAAGTTATACTAACAGTCTAACACTACCCGACTGATAACAATGTGGGACAAGGATGACACGTGAGGCCACCATTAACCGGTTATAATAATTAAATACGTACTCGTAAGTTATTGAACTTAAGAACGTCTTGTTTATCTTTTTGTAGAAAGTCCGATAGCTTACTTACCTACTTAGTACGTAAAATATCGTTAACGACTAATTTATTCGTAGTATTTTTTTTTATTTATAATTTCAAGTAAGGGGACGAACAATACGTACGCCTGATGGTAAGTTACACGCCTGCCCATAACAGCTGCCGTACCACTCAGAGCTTTAAATCGCAATATCTGTGGGCCACTGCCACTGCCCTCGTCATCCTGAGACATAAGTTGACAAGTCCATTGTGCCTGTAATTTCGCCAGCACCCTTACCTTTCAAAATTGGAACATAGTTAAGGACTACTCACATTAGACCGTGCCGGGCGCGAGCCGAGCCACGTACGAGGCGTACATTTTATATGCAGTGATTGACATTACGACGAGACACGATTGAATTGTTTCCGAGCTCGTCCGAGCCTCGGATGCGGCCCGGCCCATCTCGGCTCGTTGTAATGTGAACACTCTGTGTAATTTAAGATCATGCGGCACGTACAAGGTTCGGATGCCTTGGACACGGCTCGCGCCCGGCACGGTCTAATGTGAAGCATCTGATATTATTGCTTGGCGGCAGCAATAGGTATGATGGTAGTACTTTCCTGGACAAACTCTTTCACAAGGAGCTCTACTGCTACTAGAATCTTAGACTTTGGCGATATATTTTTATTTCCCAAATAAGTATTTTATTTTTATTTATTTTATTTTATATTACATTTGTAGGGAAACTAACAGCTAGGTACAAGTACATACAAAAAAATAAATACAGCGGCCAATTAGGTACAAGTTTCCACAGATAATAAATAAGCTTTATGTTTGGTCTGTGCACAATTAATGAGGAAGGAATTTAGAAAACAATATGGTTAAAAAGAGAAATTCGTTCAAAGAAAAAGAAAAGAATTACACTCTAACAAGAAGAATTAAAAAACTTATTACTAAGAAGTCGTTTAAGTTAGTCAGGTGTAGTACAAAATAAGTCAATATCGTGCTATTTTCCTATTTTGTTATAGTATTCACTCGCCCTAATGAAGTATGAATTTCGTCTGTAATTTACTTTCGTCAAAGGAACATGAAGTATGCTGGGATGTCGAAAAGTAGCCACTGGAACACGTAAACCAATGTTACTGAGAAGCTCAGGACAGTCGACCGAACCACTTGCTACTTTAAGTATGTAAATACAGAACATCACCTATCCGCCTTCTTTCATGTAACGGGAGTATATGAAACTTTTGACACCGCTTATAATAATTATGTTCATCATATGTTCATATATGTTCATATCACTAGACCCTGTTGAACAATAAGTATACAAAAATATTTTATATATACACACATGTAATAAAAGTAGGCAGATTTTCTCTACCATTTCGCATATTGAAATTTTATTGGATTTATTAATCGCGTATATTTGTTTTTACAAACCTACGTTTCAGATAATGCACAGAAATCTAATTTATTTCAGTTCCTGTGAGATAACGGCTGACTGCGATGGTACAATCATTAATGAAATGTTGAAAGAACAGGCATGTGGGCCCTGTGAACTTATTTCTCAGGGTGACGGGCACAGAGGCAGTGTCCCTCAGTTCTATGTAATTTAAAGCTCTTAGTGGCACTGTAACTGTTGTGTATAGGCGTGTTGCTTACCATGGTATTACAAAAAAACAGTTATGTCGAATATTAACGAAAACCAGCCTATTCTGAACAATAGTTACAATTGCATGGATCAGAATGTTGGGCGATGAAATGGGAGGATGAATGAACTGTGCGTGTATTGGTAATGCGAATGTTGAGATGGATGTGTGGAGTGACGAGAAAGGATAAGATAAGGAATGAGTACATCAGGGGAAGTTTGGAAGTGGCGCCAGTGACGGAAAAAATGAGGAGTAATAGGTTATCGTGGTATGGCAAGTCATGTGGAGGGAAAATGTCATGTGACGAGAAGAGTGTTTGGTATGAACGTGGAGGGATATAAGGGGAAAGGAAGACGAAAGAAAAGATGGATGGATTGTGTGAAAGATGACATGAATAAGAAGGGTGAGTATAAAAATGACGACTGATATGGGAGATTGGAAGAAAAATACATGTTGTGCCGACCCGACCGTGAGGAGGAAGAAGAAGAAGTTACAAATCAATTCAAATACCTTATTTATATAATTATTAATACAAAGATCGAACACTCAGAAAAAACACTCAGAAAAAATTCCTTCGATCCGGTCGGATTCGAACCGACGTCTTCTTGCACACCGTGCCAGACGCTGTACCAATTAAGCCACGGAACGAACCAACGGACCTCACGAATTCTTCTATGTGCTTGCGTCGTGTCTTTGTACTTGGTCTTTCAACGACTTTTTAGTCGTAGCGCCATCTATGAGAAATCTATGACAGATTTATCACCCAGTTAGTACCTTTACAGCTACCAGTCCTGGCGAGAGATGTCGCTATTCACTGTATTAATTAAATTTGTATTGAATTGACATTCAATTATGTTTTGTGAAATTACTCCACTAGTTTGTTATAATTATTAATACAAAGATCGAACACTCAGAAAAAATTCTTTGTATTAATAATTATAACAAACTAGTGGAGTAATTTCACAAAAAAATAATTGAATATCAATGCAATAAAAATTTAATTAATACCTTATTTATAATTCACAAAAGAACATTTTAATTTACGCTATATATGTATTTATGTTTACCAAAATATATTATTTTACTAAATTAAATTTATTAATCAAAACGAAATAAAACGTATTAGTAAATAGTACTGCTGTATTATGTATGTGCTTGGAATTTGTCTTTAGAGGAAATACTCGATCCCAATTTCAATGGGAAATGTAAAGGACCTGGAACATTGTTTGGTTTGAAAAAAAAAACTAAACTAAACTAAAAAAACCGTTTTAATAAAAAGAAACCAACCTTTAGTCGCATATTACTTTCAGATGAAATTATGAGTATCGTATCGTATCTCAAGTATGCATGTCCACATATGACAAGTCGGTGCTTCACTCTACATTGCTACGTGTGGTCAAAGGTCCTTGCACTAATTTCACAAACAACAACAACGCAGAGCCCTTTCGAAGACCTTAACGTGTTGATATTTACCGTACTGGTGATTGTTACATTGCTTCTGTAGTACTATAACCAATAATTGCAAAGGTAAAGTGCCGCGGTATTACTTGCTTTTGGAGAGGCTGGATCGGCAGTCGCAAATTGGCGTTCGGTCGAGACAGACGCCGATGCAGCGCCGCGTTTTAACTTCGTTACCACGCTGTGTTTGTTTACAAATATGGGCCCAAAAACGTGCGCATTATAATGGGCCCTTACTGTAGAAGTGCAAATGAGAAATAAACGTGTTTTAACCAGTGGGACTTAAAGACGTAAATTGTTTAGAAACTTTCTTATGCAGCTTTCAAAAAAAGTTATCGTAGTTTTTTAAATATTGATAAGTGAAACAATCGACATTTATAGTTTAATAATATCACGATTGGATTTTTGAGTTTCGTTTATATTCTTTTCGACGAAAAGGTAAGATTTTGAATACAATAGGTTTAACAATACAACAACACTCGATCAATCATCCTCACCTTTTTGTTATTACGGTTGAATGTCAAATTATTGAATTATAAGGAATGTTATACAACAGGCGTCTTGGATTATAAGTATACATAATCCAAGACGCTTGTCTTCCACTGGGGTAGCCAGAGACCCATGGAGCTCCAGACGTTAAATTGCTGACATACCTCATTCGTTTCCTAAACCCGCATTCGTCTTTTTATACACACATATTTTTCTTGATACTTTTGACGTGAGCTTTTTATGAACATCCTCAACCGGGTTGAGATATGTACGCTGAGGTAATCATTTTCGTTCGTTCTAAAAACTAAGAGCGTATATTTCGACTCATCCGAAGAACAGAGACTGTTGTGATTATAGAACGAAAATATGATAAATACATAATCTCGTTATTTAAAATAAGGCTTTTCTGTTGGTGTTTTCATAATTTTTACATCTTACATAGTTTCGGACTAATAATAACACACACACTCAACATAGACAACCACAAATTACAAATTACA